GTAAGTAGCTGAACCAAGAATTTATCCCAACTGTGTCCAATGCATTAGAGCCTCATGTAATCTATTTGAAAGCCCAACAATGTAGTCAATCATTTTCCTGGGGCAGAAATGTGACTCTTAACTTCCCAGACCTCATCAATTATAGGCAAAATTAAGAATTGCTATTATAAATGTGCTCTACTCCAATCCCCATCTGATTTTGTTCTAAGTAAGTAGTAAATGTGATCAGTTAGAAACAGCCATGGGTGACTTGAGCTTTCAAAAAAAAAAAAAAAAAAGACAAGACTCTGTGCTCTGGCAGCACATCCTTCCTAAGTGAAGAGACCAGGAGAATATGTCTGCTGGAGTAGCCCTCAGAGACTCAGACATCTCTGCTTGCTGGTAAAGAAAGCTAGATCACATGCCTTCCAGAGATATCTCAAGAGGCACGGTGTAGGGAAGCAAACTGAATGTGAGACAAAAGAAACATTTCAAGCAAAATGCCTTAATTCTATTTATCCTCCACTGAGTGCCCAGCCTGCACACTCCTGCACTCCCATTCCTGCACTCCCATGGTGTTGCCTATGATGTGAAGTGTTTGAGTGACTTGTTCAGGATACATAGTTGGTAGGTAAGTAGCAGAGCAAGTACCCCAAAAGCTTTGTATTTCCTTGTCTTTTGTTCTAATGCCTGCGTTGTGCTGCCCCTTAGCTGAAGCTGGCAACCTCATGGAAAAGAAGAGAGGGTTGCTTAGGAGCCACCCTGCTATGAACAAGTCCCATTATGCCTCAAACTTCAGTTTAGACTCCCTCTCCTTGCTCAGTAACAAGAACATAATAATCTTGCCCTCTAAAGGCTTGCAAAGATTAAACAAGGTAATTGTGCATTAGCATGGTAAATAATGTAGAACACATTCATAGCAAAAGAGGCTCAAATTGATGTTTAGACTCCAGGAGATCCAAATAGCTCTTCTACTTGGAGAAAGTTAAAAAGAAAATGGTAATAGAAAGAAAAGAAGGAGAAAGTAGATGGTGGGGAAAATAGCAAGAGAAAAAGAAGGAGAAAAAGTCAGTATGCTCTGGCTAGGGAAATCCTGACCAGCTGAAGTTCTTTTACAACTGTCATTCTCCTTCTCCATATTCATTAGGCTTTTCTCTCCTTGGAGTGAACCTAAAACCAGCCCCTTAGGAGTTCTAAGAATCAGGTATCAGGCAATGAAATTGTTCAGTAAAACATGGTGGAGATGATGGGTTAGCAAAAGTATGAACATACCGTTCACACAATCTATGGTTTTTAAAAAAAGGAATGGGTAGGAACCAGGGTTACTGGAAGACAGTCTACACAGCAGCACCGTGGCTGCTTTGCATACAGTGCTGGTGAAATGTGTGCCAGTAAGAGTTCTCAGCTACGGAGAACAGAACCTGATTCTGGGGGATTAAAGTAGAAAATGAATTTATGAAAAGGTTTTTGAGATCATAGTATCACCAGGAAACTGGATAACCAGAATTTGAAAATGGACAGGAACAAAAGATGGCAGACCTCATCATGACCATTAGAAGTGTGATAAGAGCCCTTCTGCCCAGGAAACCACCTGGGCTTAGCAAGGTAGATTTAGAGATCAGAAAAGATAGAATACTGAGTTCAGACCTGTCTCCAGCCTCATCTCCTTTGGCTCAGTTTGGAACCAAAAATGGCAGCTACCACTGATGTAAGCTCTTCTTTTCTCTAAAACACAAAATACAATGCTCTAGTGGTGGAGTCAGAAGTCTTGAGTTCTAGGAGCATCTTGATCACTAATTAGTGGGGTTGGGAATCACCGAACCTCCTTCCAAGTTCTGCGTTTGCCAGTTGGAGGCAGTCATCCCCAACCTGTTCCTGCCCAGGGCTGCTATGAGAAGCAAGCAGAAAGGGATATAAGTGGTTTCAAAACTCTTATGTCCCTGCAAAATGCTAAGAACCTTTTTCGTGACCATTAATTTTTAATTATTACTGGAAGGTGATATAGCACATATAAAAAGTGGGGATATATATCCAAAGATCTATCACTCTAGGGTCAAACACTGGCTCCACCTCTTACCACCTCTGTGGCCTTTGAAATGCCTTGTTGACTGTATCAGCCAGTTTTTTGTATTTTTTAGATGGGAATAAGGTTTTCTGTCTCAAAGAATTAGTGTAAAAATCAGAGGAGATATCATATGCAATTCAGAATTCCTGGAACTCAAAAGAAGTGGTAGCTAGAAATAATCAAAATAAGCGCTAGTAATAATAAGAGTCACAGATCACACCTCCTGTTCCCCTAACTAATCTTCTCATCATCTATAACAATTAATGATGCATGATTTGATAACTCCTCTTAAATTAATATTTGGAACTGATGATTAAAATTTTATTTACATTTTATCTCTGTTGTTGTTGTTCATTTGTCATCTCTAGAGGTCTATTTAATTGAACTTATTTTAACCCCAGCCAATAAAGCTAAAAGTCCTTCAAAACTCCCTGCCTTTCTATGTGTCATTTTCAGCAAGGAAGGGGTTACTGGGCATTCTGAGCACTTGCTGAAGCACAAGTCATCCGACCTTGTCAGGAGCCCTCGGGCTTTTGCCAGCACTCAGCTTTTGTCTGCACATAGCCCTCAGTGGAAAAATACCGCCCGGATTCTGTGAATTATTAATCTCACCATGACATCAAATACCCACTAGATACAAAGAACAAGTGGCCCCACAATGAGGGTCTTAGGGAAAACCAGAAGCTGAAGGCAGTTGACCACAATCAGAATTTTTCCTGTTCCCCTCTGGGGTGGGAGAAAGTCTCATTCATTCCCAGCACCCCATACACAGAACTCTCCAGAGGCATCAGTTTAAAATGTTTCTGTTTGGAGGGGCTCGGGGAGCTGATAGAGAAGAAAAGTCTTTAAATGACTCTCAACTTTCAGTTGAGGATGCCACACTCACTTTAAATGAGTTTGTATTTTGAGTGCATGAGAACTGGAGTACAAGAAGAAGTTCAAGGTCTTTCCATTTGCTGTTTTCCCTGGACCAGGCAAGGAATCTGGCAAGATCAAAATCTACTGGAGGCTAGGAAATTATTGACACATGGAAAATTCCAGTAGTAAAAGATCTAGAGGAAATACATCTGTCATATCCTACATTACTTGGCAAGGCTTTGAACCAAATTTTTAGTAAAGCTAACATCTGAAAGAATAGATTTATTTTTAAGTCAGAGAAAGAAAATGACAGGATAGAAAGATCATTGCTCAAGAGATTTGAGCTCTGGAGCTTTGAGTTTCATTCAAAAGCACTTACTGAAAGCAGTGTGCTGGAGTATACACACATACCCACCAGTGAACAACCATCTACCATTTCTACAATACCTTAGCATCTCTCAGGCACTCTGCCAGGTGGCTTATTCACCCTCACTACAACCAAAGGAGATATAGTTTTATGTCCCTTTTGCTTCTTTTGACTTTGATGGATATCAGTAATGTATACATTGATTAAGGCCACAAGAGTTGAAATTCAAACCCAGATTTGTCTGGTTTGAAATCCCTTAAGAAACATGTAATTGAGCAGCAGAGCACAATGAGCAAACAGCTAATGCCAATACAACACACATGTGGCAAAACAAAGCTAACTCCGTAGTAGCCAGAGAGTATCTTTAGCCAAAACATGTAGAGAAGTAACAGGGTGAAAACCGGCTTGTTCAGGACAGAAGGATTTCTCAGGGTACAAACATTTTAATGCTAATACCAGGGCATTCCAGGACAAACTGGGACAGTTAGTCACCCCACAGGTAAATGAGGGGCAGGTCCTGAAAGACAATTTGTGTGAAGGTGAGTTTGACCTTCATCCTAGGAAGAAAATGATGACTGATCTAGACAGACGATTGTTCTAGAAAGGAGAAGATGTTAGGGAGAGAACACTGACTGCTGGGTGAATAGTGGATTAGATAATGAAAATAATGGCTAGGAGGCTTGGAATGGAGGAGAAAGACTGAAAAAGTAGACTAAAGGAGAATGAAGTAAAATGAATTATACATTTCCCAACTGACATCTAATCAAGATAGAAGTTTGTATTTTACACTGAGTAAATAGACTGAAATATTTTAGCATATAGTTTAGTATCTACCTCGTATAAGTTAAATTGTGTCTGTACCCATCACCCACAAGAAAAATATGTTGCGGTCCTAATCCCCAGTGCCTCAGATGCAACCATTTTTGGAAATCGGGCTGTTGTAGGCATAATTAGTTAAGATAAGGTCATGCCTACTGCCCTTATAGGAAGATGGCCATGTGAAGACAGAGATACACTGGGTGATCCCCATGTGACGAGAGCAGAGACTAGAGTTAAGCAGCTGCAAACCCAGGAATGCCAAAGATTGCTGGCAAACCACCAGAAGCTAAAAAGAGGTAAGGAAAAGCTCTCCTACAAGTTTCAGAGGGAGGGTGGCCCTGCCAATGCCTTGATTTAGGACCTCTGGCCTTGAGCACTGTGAGATATTTCATTTTTGTTGTCTTCAGATGCCCACTTTATGGTACTTTGTCATGGCTGCCCCAGGAAACTAACACACTAGCCAAACTCTATCCAGACTTGGTTTTATCACAAGGAGACAGGATGGAGCTAGAGCATAATATGAACACTCTGCTGAGAAACCTCTAGGAAGCAGGCAGCAAGCTGAGTGCTTTCTTAGGACCTTTTCGGTGAGCTGTCTCCATGGTCCTCTCATAAACCAGGTCATCCGTAAGAAATGCAGAGTCAGAAAGAGTCTGCAGCTCGTCCACAGCTACCCAGGTAGAAAGGGGCTACCCAGGGCTGAGACTCATGTCTCTCCAACCTCAAAAACAGATTACTCATTTCTCCTCCCTTGAATTTCCTAAAAGGAGAGGCAAGGCAGCCAAGGCAGAAGGCCAGATAAAACTGAAAATCCTGGCAGAGCTCTGAGCAATTCACAAACATGAGAAAACAGAAGCTTGAGGGCTCCGGGGTTGGGGTGGTGAGAGGACAGGTGGAAGAAAGGCTTCTTACCGCACAGCTCTGAGTCACCCAAATGTGATCCGCATCCTTATCAGCAGGACTTGCTTCTCATCTTCCCTCTGGGCTCTGCAGCTCAGGGGGAGGCAAAGATCAAGCAATGCTCAGGGAGAGTTGAGAGTAAGAAAATCTTTTCGGAAGCCTCTAGGGCCTTTACTTTCCTAAAGTTAATTACTTTCTGGATGAACATCTGATTAGAAATATCATTTGCAAGCCCCACCTGCTGCGGATGTCTCCTGTTCTGAAAGTGGATATTCAAAGCATGTTAAAATCCTAATATATATCTTCATCTCCCATGGAAAACAGAACAGTGATTATTTTGAGCCTCAGGAAGTTGGGATCCAGTCACGGAATTCATCATTACCCTTATGCAATCTAGGAGACGGGAACAGATCGGGTGAGAAATCTCAAAGGAAAACATGCCTCCTGCAAAATTAGCCTAAGTCATTGCTCCAAGTGAGAGGCTGTGTTTAAATCAGGAATAATTCTTTAAATTTCAACCCATGACACTGACAATGAGATTGTTGTCTTTGGAAATGAACCAGTATGTTTTCATCTGCGTGTGGCAGATGCGCTTGCTGAAATATTCATGATACAGTGGAAAGGCGTAGGGTCGGCAGCCAGAAAACCAGGTTCTGGTCTATCCTGTGTGACTTACGCAAGTCACATTCCTTTCTCAGTCTCAGTTTCCTCATCAATGAAATAAACTTTTTTATTCTGATGTGATGATCTCTTCCTGGCTGCTTCCTCTCTCTTCCTCCCTCCCTCATCCCATTTCTCTTCCTTCTAAAATCCTCACTTCTTATTGCCATGATAATGAAGGAATATAAGTCGAGTTGATGCATGGGTTTGGACAAGTCACTGGAAGGGCCTTTGCAATGTGACGCAGAGCTCCATGTGAGTAAATGAAGGAAAAGACAGGGGGTTAAAATTTTGTTATTGCAAATGTATTCCTTCATTTATCCAGTCATTCATTTCACTAGAAACCCATTATGTATGTCAATCAAGCACTAGACCTTGAGGCTAAGAGAGCAAAATATCATTCCTGGCCACTAGGAACACATAGTCCTAGTAAGAAGAGAGAGAAATAAATGGTAAATAATAATTGAGTACTATATACCAGAAAACACTCAAGGTACAATGGAAGCAGGTATTAGAGAAATTTATCCAGTCATTTTATGTGGTAGAAAGCTTCCGAAAGGAAATGAATCTGGGGCAGAGTAGGACAGAGAATATTCTAGAAAGAAGGAACCCAGGACAGGCAAAAGTTCAGGTGGTTAAGTATATCTGTAATTCAAAGCTCTAAGACATGTGTCAGAAGCAGCAAACAGAGTCAAATGACAGAGAGACTCATGAGAGTTGTTTGTGTGTGTGTATGTGTGTTTGTTTTCAGTTTTTTGAGAAAAAAACTTTTTCACTCTAACATTCAGGCTGGAGTGCAGTGGCGCAAACATGGCTTACAGCAGCCTCAATCTCCTGGGCTCAAGGGATTTCCCCCTGGGCCCATCCTCCAAAGCAGCTGGGATCACCAGCGCACACCACCACACCTGACTAAACTTTTTTTTTAGAGATGGGGTCTTATTATGCTGCCCACGCTGTTCTCAAACTTCTGGGCTCAAGCAATCCTCCTATCTCAACCTCCCAAAGAGCAAGGAGGCGTGAGCCACTGCACATGCCTCATAGGCCTTGTTAAGGAAAACAATTGACTTATCAGCTATGGTCTGTGTGAAGACAGCCATAACCTCTTTCCTGATGCTATAGCATATCTGACGGTGTGCCTATCACTCCCATATCCCCATCCCTGAAAGGCATCACTTGTAATAGTAATGAGAACCATTGTGTGAAGCTCCAGAGAACTTGAACAAATGGGTAAAGACTACAAAAAAACAGAAACTTTTAATAGCCAGTGCTATTCAATTTGAAGCAACAATGAATTCTCCATGAATGATTGTTCTGCCACTCTCTAGAAAGAATAGTTGGACAACTTAAGCTTAATTTGAATTCACGGTAAACCTTAATCTATGTTCACTTTTCCTCCCAGTGGACATCAGTTGAGTCATCAATAAAAGAGCACACAAGCCCAAATTGGTGTTATTCCTGAGAGCTTTCACTAAAAACGTTTTATTGTAATTTTTTTCTTCTCCACTTACCCGACCACGGGACAAATCTTGTGAAGATTTCTCTCTACTAGACAAATTATACTCATCAAATAATAATTGTTTAACTTTATACTTGAGTTGTACAAACCAAACAGTGCTGTGATTTAACTAGATATTTCTGAGTGTGGAAAACAGCTGGAAGTCGACTGTTTGGGGACTCAAGATTGGAAACATCCAGAGAAAATAATCTCCAAGACCTCCTGCAGCAAAGAGAGTCTGTGACTTTAGAGATTAGAAAGACACAAAACAAAGAGTGATTGTTTTCTTGAACGATTTTGAAGACATGCTCTGAGTAGAGGAAGCAAAGGTGAACAGAAATCTCAGGGAGAAGAAAAAGCCTTTGAAGGGAAGTAGTTGAAAACAGTCAGGAATTGAAGAGATGCACAGCATCAGGTGAGTGAAGCTTGGGATGCATGTGCAGGTCTGGCTGAGACATCGACTTTGATTATGGACATGTGCTTTAGCACGCTCAGACTCCTCTCCTCTTCTGTGTGTTAGATGAATGATCCTCGGCTTTAAAGCATTGTTGCAACAATTAAGTGAAATATTTTATGTAAAGCCACTAGCTATGCTTTGCACACAGTAGGTTTGCAAAGAATAGTAGTAATCATAAGAATGACAACGATGCTTTAATCAAGATGTTCAGATACCAGGAGCACCTTAATTTGTTTACTGTGCAAAAGGATGCAAGCCTTTATTGCTCTAGTGACAGATGACTTTAGAAGCAGCCTAGGAATAGTGTGTCATTGTCATTGCAGATAATAAAAGCAGAGCTGAGAGGAGAATTAATGAGGAAAGCAGACAAATCCAAAATGCTAGGCCATCATCCGTCTGGACTGCATCAATGCGGAGAGTAAAGGGATGACGTAAGTGTTTATTTCTAACTCTCTCTCTCTCAGAATGCTGAGTGTTTTCAGTCTAGCTTTTGCTTTTAGAGCTCTCAACACACCTGGACTCCAAACAGCATTTTTAAAAAGCCTGTTGTTGGCCTGGATTCCTAAAGTGACTGTGTGTATGAAACAATGTTTTTGGTACACGGGTAGGAAGATAATAGTGATATTCACCCCAAGAAGTAAGAAACTGTACCACAAAGAGTTAAACTAGAAAATTAGTACAGTGAGAATGAGATATGCAAAGTCACCTCCCAGAAAAAAGGTGGGCCCCAGGCCAGCAGAATGAAGGCTAACCTCAATGAAGACGTTAACGTATCCAGAAAAAAATAAATAAATACCTTGGCCAGAAGGAAGCTGACCAGCATGAAAATATAAAAAGAGAACCAAACAACTGCTGGGTACGGTGTGATCCAAGCCCTCTCCAAGGTCATACAAATGATCAAATACTCTGGAATCTGTACAAGCTGCCTATCACCTTGAGGATAACTTCCCCCACCACTCCTCACATGGCCCACGAAACCATATGTGATTAAGCCCCAACAGTTTTATCGCCCACCTCTCTCCAACTCATGCAATTCCACTCTAGTCCTGGCCTTCTTTGTTTTTACAATGACTAGTCTCTTGGCCTGGGATTCTCTTTTCCCAAATTTTGAATGACTCCTTCCCTCATTTCGTTGTTTAAATTTAATTCAGTCCTCCCTAACCACCTTATCTAAAATCCATCCAACAGAGTCAGAGCCAGGCAATATGTTTGCAACTTGTGAAACAGCTGGACATTTTTCTGAGATCTACAAAAAAATCAAACACGCGCACACACACACACACACACACACACACACACACACGCAAAAGCCAACAAATACCATGCCAGAAAAAGCTGGTTTAAAAAGCTGAAGGAGAGGTACACTTTGCACAACATAAAGCTGGTGAAATATTTGGTCTCGGCAGATTGCAATGCTGCAGTTCTATTTCCTGAACAAGGAAGGGAGGCATCCAGGAGAAGCTTATTTATTGGAGCAGGGCTTCATAGCCATGAATCTGGCTTGTAAAGGAAGTGAATACTTTGAGAATACTTCCATTCTGTCTTTTAAGTGTATTTGGTAAAATTTTTCAGTTGTTTTTTCCCTAACCCCTTCTATTCTGAGACTTTGATCTTACCAGTTGAGGTTTATGAAATCATAGATCTTTAAGGAAGGAAAGCAGTAACACTGTTTAATTCTCATTTGGCAAAAGCATCTCAAATGGAAGACGGAGATATCAGACTGTCCCATGATGTCACTATACTCCCAAATCCAATAAACGGCCTTTGCTCTGATTTTATTCCCACCAGGCAAGGTTCTGATTATAATTTGGCTTTTTACATAGGTCTGCTAGGAAAAAAAAGAACTAGAAATATGAACCTGAACTTTCTGTCTCCCTGTGTCTATTGTATGTCTTGCTGTTCACCAATATGTAGCATGAATAACTATTAACTTGAGCTTTCCTGTATGTGTGTCTTTAGTACTGCAGAAGAGGCTTCCTTGGGAGACTTCATGGGACTGGGAGGGAAGAGTCTCTAGGTCTTTTTTAAAAACTTTTTTTTAAGTTCAGGAATACAAGTACAGATTTGTTACATAGGTAAAGTAAACTTGTGTCATGGGACTTTGTTGTGCAGATTATTTCATCGGCCAAGTATTAAGCCTAGTACCCATCAGTTATTTTTCCAGACCCTCTCTCTCCTCCCACCTCCCCACCCTTCAATAGGCCCCAGTGTATGTATGTGTCCATCATTGTGTTCTATGTGAACATAGAACAGCTATATATTCTCATCATTTAGCTCTCACTTATAAGTGAGAACATGTGGTATTTGGTTTTCTGTTCCAGTGTTAGTTCGCTAAGGATCATGGCCTCTAGCACCGTCCATGTCCCTGAAAAAGACATGATCTCGTTTTTTATGACTACGTAGTATTCCATGGTGTCTACGTACCACCTTTTCTTTATTCAGTATATCATTGACAGATATTTAGGTTAATTCCATCCATGTCTTTGTTATTGTGAATAGTGCTGTATCTGTAAGGAACTTAAAGTTAAGAGAAACAAGAACAATCCCATAGAAAATGGGCAAAACCCTCCAGGTCTTTACATCATAGAAGAGTTGAAGGAGAGAATAAGATAAGGGCTTTTTGGTTACCAACTTCTAGGCCCTTCCTAATAACTATCTGGTGCTAATGTGGGAGAAACATGAAGCATGTAGTGTG